CAGCCGGGCGGCGGACCATCAAGTCGGACCCGAGCATGTCCGGGTTGGGGACGCGCCTCGGGGGGCTCCTGCCGAGGGTCTCCCAGAAAGGAACCAGGGGCCTCCCTGGCCTTCGCACCTGGCGCCTTGGCCTTGCACCTGGAAGAGACACGGCTGCTTGCGCAGATGCACTAGGACTGGGGTGGAACAGGGCGCGTTAGCTGCGCATCAGACACTGAGGCCATCACGTTAAAGGAAAGTAGCTTTCCGTTTTCCACGGGGACATAGCATGCTGGGAGGAAGGGCACCATCGGACCCTGGAGTCCGGCAGGCTTGGGTTTGATCCAGCTCAAGGCTTGACCAGGGGTGTGAAGTGGGTAAGTTAAATCCACTAAACTACGATTTCCTTCTCTGTTACATGCAGTTAATGATTTAAAAAAAAAAAAATCTAAAAAAGGTTGCCTTGGCCAGACATGGTGGTGCATACTGTAATCCCAGCTATTTCGCAGGCTGAGGCAGGAGGGTCACAAGTTGGAGACAGTCTGGGCAATTTCGCAAGCCCTATCTCGAAAATTAAAAAAAAAAAAAGTTTTTTTTAAAGGAACTGAGGATGTAGCTCAGCCATACAGTGTTTTCCTTCTATGTGCAAGCCCTGGGTTCAATCCCCAGGAAAAGTAAAGAGTAAATAAATAAAATGGTAGCCATGAACATGTAATGAGCCAGCCTGAATAAAGCATCTACATGTCCTGAGTGTAAAATAAAGGGTGGCTACCATTCTCATTAGTTTTTTTTCTCTAATTAAAATAAGAGCAAGCCGGGCGTGGTGGTGCATGCCTGTAATTCCAGCACTCAGGAGGCTGAGGCAGGAGGATCACTATGAGTTGGAGACCAGCCTGGGCTACATAGTGAGATCCAGGTCAGTCTCAAAAAATCAAATAAATAAATAAATAAATAAATTAATTAAGAGCAGCTGGGGATTTAGCTCAGTGGTCCAGCTAAGGCGGGTCCTTTAGCCTGGACCCAACTTGCCTTGCAAGCACAAGGAAGGACCCAAGTTCAATCCCCGGTACCAACAAAACAAAACAAAACCAAACCCCTGTATCTAAAATAAGAGCAAATTCATGAGGTAAAAGATTATATAATCTAGGTTTCCCCTGCTCTTGTTATCTAGGATTTTTGTTGTGTGCATGGGGGGGGGGGTTACTGGGGACTGAACCCCAGGGCCTCTGCACTGAACTGTATCCCAATTCCCCTCTTTTTCCTTAATTTTTTATCTTGAGACAATGCCTCACTAAGTTGCCCAGGCTGGGCTTGAACAATCCTCCTGCCTCAGCCTCCCAGAGTGCTGGGATTACAGGTGTGCACCTCACACCTGGCTAGCAGTGGTTCTTCGTGATGACTGCTTACAGACTGAACAACCATGAATCGTGAAGGGCTTGCTAATTCTGGGCTTCAACACTGCTGGTGTGAGCAGTGAGGCCATGGTGAGCTGGCCACTCCTGACCCAAGCCTACTCTCCAGCGGCCAGGTCCTTCCGGATCAGACTCTCCGGAGGGCAGGGATCCTATTGTTGTCTGAGCCTGTTTGCCTCGGACCTAGAACAATGCTGGCAGAGTAGGTGGTCAGTAAACACCTGCCACGTGAATGTATGTGTGAGTAACAGGCAGGCTCGGGTTTCATGTGTGCCCAGAAATGTACTGTCCGACAGTCACCACTAGCTACGTGCAGCTATCTGAACCAAAGTACAACTACATTAAAGACTCTGGCCCTTAGCTGCCCTGGTCACCAGCAGCACCTGTGGCTAGCAGCTGCTATAGTGGACGGAGCAATTTCCAAAATTGTAGAAAGTCATGGTCTAGAACACGCTCTTGGAGATCTATGCCTCCACAAGTGGTTTTAATTAGTGCCAAAAAAGAGCTGGAATTTATTATCATGTGTGTGTACTGCTGGGGGTCGAACCCAGGGCTCACACGTTAGGAAAGCTCTCTACCACAGAGATACACCTCCAACCTTAGAAATTATTATTTTGTGGGGGGTACTGGGGCTCAAACTCGGGTCCTTGTGCTTGTGTGATGAGAACAAGAATATGTATGAAATGCAAACATTCTTCTCCAGCAAGGTTCTGATTGAGCTTGGTGACATTTTTGTTTTGTTTTTTGAAACAGGATCTCACTATGGAGAGCAGGCTGGCCTCAAACTCGTGGCAATCCTTCTGCCTCAGCCTCACGAGCACTGGGAGTCCAAGAGCCTCCCCCACCCCACCGCAGGAGTCCAGTGACTTTAGATGTGAGATAGGTACACACTCACAGACCAACTCCTGGGCTTGGGGTTCTGAATACAGAGAGAGACGGCTGTTTAGGGATTCTGAAGCCCCAGTAAGATGCACAGCAAGAGATAGATAATTAGCAATTTCGTGCATCCTGTGACCAAGCTTTCCAGCCCAAAGACTTAAGGGCTGTTTATGTAAAGGCATGGAGACATTGGCACACAAACCATGCTGCTGTTTTTGGTTGCACAGCATAAATTAGGAACTTGTGAAAATGCAAACACACTTTTTTCTTGCAAACATTTTCCATGGATATCAATGCAGACTTCCTTATTTAAATAAACAATTAGGATTCATAACAGAGTGCTTAGGGGAGATAGAAATTTGTAGAATTGTGCTGTCACCACAGAGGCCATTAGCAGGAATTAGATTTTAATCAGAATGACAATCAGTGTGTGGCTATTTAACTGAAGGTTCAAAAGGCAGAATGTACACTCCTTGTTCTCGCGGTACCAGAAGCAAGACAGAAAGAGGACAGATGTCCCAGTTAGTGTGTGCTGGGGGACAACAGATGACAGGCTACAGAACACTGCTGCCAGGTGCCGTGAGGCAGTGATGAGGAGTAGATAACTCCACAGGCTTTTGATTCAGAGGGACATGGACTTGTCCCTTTTTTTTCTTACAAGAACCAGCTCATGTCCTCTAAGCCGGAGCTTCTGCACACAGAGGCCGAAGTGATCTTGCTCACTGCTCCAGGTACATAGCAGGGGACAACAATGCAATCTTCGGGTGAGCGGATGAGTTACAATACACAGCACGTCAGACTCACAGCCTACACCGCCACCCTTTCTATCGACAAACAGCAGCTGGCGTCACTGCAGTCCTCACAGTCTCGCCCCAGAGCCAGACACCTGGGGTGACTTCATGGAAAATGAGGCGGAACGAAGGATGGCTTGCGGGAAGGAAGGAAGAACACGCAGGATTTACCAAGCTCAAGCAAGAGACGGGAAGGGTGAAATGGTTAG